ACCATGTTAATTAATATATTAAATTCCTTTGATTGTGTAACTATTGTGTGATTATTAACTACTAGTAATCAACTTGTTTAATCCTATTATTAAATTATGATTGTTGTTATATAATTTAACAGCTTGGAATTAAATGTATGTTTATTATCAAATGAAATTCCTGATTATCAAAACACAAGCTGATATGAGTCGTTTGTAATGTTTTATATTTATTTTATTGACTTTTTTTTTTAAATAATTTACATATTGGCTTTTTAATAGTTGTAACAGAGCTGGAGGATTTAACTTATCTGTTTATGATTTCTAAATATTAGAAACATAACCCCGTTGAATTTGACAATTTAGCGTAAAAACTTTTACAAAAGTTTTTAGTAGTTCACGAAATCAAGTACTACTAAGATAGCACTTTCTGGTATCAATACTATCAGAGACATATAATATTGTATTATATGTCTCTGATACTATACATCACAGCAATACATAAACATTTGCAATTTATAACACACAAACATTTTACAACAATACATTAATCTTCTGTTTATTATCCATACACGGAAATATTGTATTTTTTTTAGATCGTAAGTTTAAGGAACTTTAACAAGTAAAGGAACTATCTAAGTCAAATTCAGTATACAGAGAATCACAATTTGCCAAGGACGTATAAGCCGCGGTATAATTGTATTAATGTGCAATATACCATGTACGGGAATATGTCAGACCCCTTCTGGGATTTGCATATCTGGAAAAGTCGTTTTTCAGATAATCTCCACAGGTAATACCTATATTGTATTTTATGACTGATTTCAACAATAGATATGTCCACACTAAAAAGTGATTTGAACTGTTTATTTGGGAAAAATCTGTTTTGTGTTGTTTTTCTTCTTCTGCCAAGTCTGCAGGAATGACAAAACTGCACATAAAAATAAAATCCAGAAAAATTAAGTGTTTATTATCATATTTACCCTGCCCCAATTCATTGTGCACGTCCCAGGAAAAGAGAATCTTTTTCAGTGGTTGTCGTTGGTTCATGTGTCATATTTGTTTTTCATTAATTGTATTGTTATGACATGTATAACACAACATTTGTGTACATGGTATAATAATAAGACCGCTAGTTTTTTGGTTTGAAAGTCATGGTGTCAATTTAAAAAGTAGTACGGTTTGTGTTTTGCTCAATTAATAATGCACAGGTGAGCTAAAAAGGTATCTTTCGGATATCTTTTTCAAAGAGTATTTGATACTTACAGTTTACACGTATATCTTGTAACAACAAATATGCCAATTTACCACATTATTTAATCTGTATAAACAAAGTAGTTTGAGTAACAAAGGAACAATAAGCGCACAGCACACACACACACATACACAAACACATATGCATTTTTTTTTCTCCATATAGTAAAAATAAAAAGCTTCGCCGAGCGCAGCCTGATACGACCGCAGAGGTCGAACCCTGAATAGTTGGAGCAAGTTTGGACACAATATTCAAGCTTGATACTGTCTGAATTTGGATTGTGATCAAATTTTTGACATAATAAATAAATGTGGTCAAAGATCTTAAAAATTTGAAATGGGACATTTAATTACATGGTTAGATTCAGCATATAAAAAAACACCAAAGATTTAATTTTAGTTGAAATCAAACAAAGTTTAATTTTGGACCCTTCAAACCTTAATATGGACTAATTTGAAAACAGGGCCCAAAATAAAAAATCTAAATGCACAATAAGATTCAGCATATCATAGAGCCGCAATAATTAACTTTTTGATGAAATCAACCAAAGTTTAATTTTGGACCCTTTGGACCTCAATGTAGACCAGTTTAAAAATGGGACCCAATATCCAGCTAAATAAAACAAGGTTAGAACCCCCAAAAATTAAAGACTTTAAATTAATCCCATTGAAATTGGTTAAAAGATTTGTATTTATTTTCAATTGAAGATTTCTTGCTATTGCGCAATACTGTGCTGTTGCACAATACTTAGTTAATCTGTTATATATAATAATGTGCACACCCTGTTTGGTGTGTATCTCCTGCCATATCAGTAGTTGTTGCTTTTATAAAATAATTAAGAAATGATCTATGCAAAAATGGAAAATTTTTGGAAAAAAAAACAAAAAATTAAAAAAAAAAAAAAAATCTCCCCCCCTCCCCCCAAAAAAAACTTTTTGAAAAAATTTGAAATTTTTAAAAATCTTAAAGAAAAAAGTATGAACCAAATGTGTCTTCGGATGCCGACAAAGACGACGACATGATAGCAATATACAAACGCAAATTGTTTGCGGTCGTATAAAAACTGCAAAATTTTCTTAAAATTACCAATTCAGGGGCAGCAACCCAACAACGGGTTGTCTGATTTGTCTGAATATTTCAGGGCAGATAGATCTTGACCTGATGAACAAATTTACCCCCATGTCGGATTTGCTCTAAATGCTTTGGTTTCAGAGATATAAGCCAAAATCTACATTTTACCCTTATGTTCTATTTTTAGCCATTGCGGCCATCTTGGTTGGTAGGCGGGGTTTTCGGATACATTTTTAAACTAGATACCCTTTGGGTCAGGTGAGCTAAAAAGTAATTGGTTTTATAGAAATGGCAACCAAACAAATGTTTGGATATGATTATGATGTTTCAAAAGGTCTCCAATTGGCCAATAGAGTAACAACAGAAATGTTATAATGTATAATACAAATCATAAAACAGTTATAGTCATATTGTTATATGTTATATCTGTACTATTAATGGCTAATTTTAATATTATTCATTGGAATTGCCGCGGCATTAAATGTAATATTGTTGAATATATATATGGTCAATGTCAACGCTAAAAAGCACTCCAGCTATCCTTTGCTTTCAGGAAACGTGGTGTAGATCAGAACAGGATCACCCACAAATAACAGGGTATAAACTTGCTGACTTTTCAGTTCGTAAAATAACAACTCGAGGAGGAACAACAATTCATGTAAAGGAATCACTACCATATCTGAAAAATAAAGTGAACAGTATATTTGAAATATCAAGTATATATTTAAAATTTTTTTTTTTAATTTTTATTATTTTCAAGAATTACAACAAATATAACACATCAAACATACATACAGTAATATTAGCAATACATTTGCATATTTATTTATAACAATAAACATTGTTGAAAATTTATTTTTATATATATGTTGGCGGCAATACGTGAAATTATGCATTTAGCTTAAATCCTAGGCATTAGGTTATTGTCTGAAATTTCCAGGCATTAAGCTTATTTCCTGAAATCTGATGATGATTATTCAACCTATTGCCAAACTTCATTTCAGGCAATAAGTTAATTGTAAAATTAAATGAGGCTTAGTTATAAGACGATATTTGATTAAAATTTTTATAAACCAATAGTTATGCTAAGAGTTAACATGAGAAGCGCATGCGCAGATCGAGGACACTATTCAGAGATATTCAAGTATAATTGAATAAATTTCTGGGTGGGTAATGATGAAAAAGGGTGGGCATGTTAACTCTTAGCATAAATATTGGTTTATAAAAATTTTAATCAAATATCGTCTTATAACTAAGCCTCATTTAATTGTACAATTTTTATAAACCAATATTATGCAAGAGTTCCCAAGAGATTTGAGAGCCAATTTACTTGAATAATGTAATGTATACATGTTTTGTTAGATTACAATATTGTATTGGATTCCCAAATTACTATAAAATTATTTAAAGTTTGGCACAAGAGTATTATATTGAATCATACTCTCAGTAACAATTAGTTATATATATCCATAATTGTTTCAACGACATACAGATATCATAATAAACTGTAGGCAACAAAGCCATATCATAATATGGACTTTCGGTAATGATAAACACATTTTCAAATAATATTGTATTAACTTATATACATCATGAACATAGTTACATTATAACCAAAAACAAAACTATTTTCCACGAAGTACTCGTACACTATAGTTATCATTATACTCTTGAACAGTAACTGGTCTATTGTAAAATTGCCTAAAAGTAGACTCATTTGTCCATCCTGCTGATTTAAGAATAGAATTTACTGTCACTCCAGCTCTAAGTGATGCTGATGTACTAGCTCCCCTAGTACTGTGTGTTTTAAATATAGAAGTATTTACACCTGCAAGTTTTAAAACCAATTTAATCCAATTACTAATTGTTGATTTTGTAGGATGATGGTATGGTTTTACAAATGTAACAAAAAGTTTTTGAGATGTACGTATTGCAGATGTTCTTTCGATATAGGCATTTAAAACAGTTACAATACACAGTCTTGAGTCTTCAACAAATGCTGGGAAACATATTGGTGATAAATGTTTTCCTGGTTTTGAAGTTTTCAAAATCTCATTAATTTCAATTATAACATTGTCTTTTGTGATTTTCATAAAATCTAAATCTACACAATGAAAAGTCTGTATTCTCTGTCCAGTAACAAGTGCTAATAACATAACTAATTTCAAAGTTAAACATCTCAATGACAAAACCTTTACAGGCGATAAAGTAATCAAAAATTCTAATACAACATTAACATCCCATGTTTGCTGATATCTAGGAAACATTGGTCGCTTATTATAAATTCCTCTGAGGAACCTTTTAACTAATGTCAAATATGATGATAACGCAGACCGTGCTGTGTAATAGAACTATATCCTACGCCTGACTCATATAAAACTGTCAAAAATTCTACTACATCCACCTCAGTTGGCGTAAAAATATCAATCTTTCGTTCACAACAAAATGTACACCATTTTTTGAGATATGTCCAATACTGTTTTTGTGTACTTTGTCTCCAGGATGAGATGACAATTTCTGCAGCCTTTTTTGATAGTCCTGTATTTTGCACAATTTGCCCGACAATCTGAAGACACCCAAAATCAGTTTTTTCAACGGATGTTTCTTTTGAGGTTCTGTTGGCAGTATCAACAACTGTTGTCCTTTTTTCCTGGGTATTATGTAAGAGTCCTGAACAATATGATGCAGTATTTGAGGGAAGCGATGTTGAGTGCTCCACAAGGGTGCTATTAAGGTTAATTCTGCTTCTTCCAAAATCAGTTTTTGGATTACTTTTCCTACCATGCTGAAAGGATGAAAAACAAATGAGTTAAAGTTAGTCCATCTAATAGTAAAAGCATCTACTGCTTCAGCATTTGGATCAGGTAAGTATGAAATATACCTTGATAACTGATGATTTATCCTTGAAGCAAATAAATCAATATCATGCGGACCATATATTGAATTAATGCACATAAAAACATTATTGTTAAGTTTCCATTCTAGATCTGTATTGTTGGAACGTGACAATTTGTCTGCTTCAACATTGGTTTTTCCCGGTAAGTGACAAGCACTTAACCAAATGTTTCTTTGTATACACCACTGCCATATTTCCCTTGTTAAGTTATTGAGAGATTGAATTCTACCTCCCATTTTGTCTATATAGGTCACAGCTACCATATTATCCATGTATAATCTAACATGTTTATCGGATTTTTTTGAACAAAAACATTTTAATGTTAAAAATGCTGCCTTTAGTTCTAAATAATTTATGTGTAATTTCTGCTCTTCATATGACCAAAAACCCTTGGTTTGAAGTTGTGTGTTGTCAACAACACCACCCCAACCAGTTTTTGAACTGTCTGTTTTTAAAATTATCTCAGGATCTGTCCGTACTAACGGCTTGAAACTAGACTCAACATGAGAAATCCACCAATTTAACACATCTACTGATTCATTTGAAATGATAATTTTATTGTCAAAATCTCCACTGTTTTGTTTTAAAAACTTGTTTTTTCTATTTCTAAAGATTTTATATATATAAGTGCATGTTCAACTCCTGGTTCGGCAGCAATCAATTTGCCTATAATTTGTGCAAACTGCCTGGTTGACATTTGTCTGTTTTTAACATATTTACAGCATAAAAGTTTTATTGCTTGCGCTTTTTCAGTTGTAAGTTTAATTGTCATTGTTATGGAATTCAACACAAATCCTAAAAATGTAATTGTTTGTGTCGGTTCAAATACAGATTTGACTGGGTGAATAGTAAAGCCTAATTTATCCAATAAGGTGACTGTATCAGAAATATTAATTGTACATTGTGAATTACTATCACTGATCAAAAGACTATCGTCAATGTAAGCTACATTTTTGTGTCCAATTTTTCTTAGATGTGAAAATGACACTTTTAAAACTTTTGTAAATATCCTTGGCGCAGTTGTCAGCCCATTAGGCAAACATGTATACTCATACAACTGATCATTCCAATAGAACCGCAAATATTTTCGGTATTTGTGATCAATAGAAATAGAATAATATGCGTCTTTCAAATCAATAGAAGCAAACCAGCAGTTTTTTGACACACATTGTATTGCTGACTTTAATGTCTCCATTTTAAAATGGTGTTTTTCAATATCATTGTTGAGAACTTTTAAATTTAAAATCACTCTACATGTACCATCCTTTTTTGGTCTTATAAAAATATTTGAAACATATTGATTTTTAATATATGTCACTGGTTTTATAATTTGTTTGTGTAAAAATTTATCTATTTTTAACTGCACCATATTTGTTTCATCTGTATTAAATTGTAACATATTTGGTTCCTTGTTTTGTGATGGAATTTGTTCAAACTCAATTTGATACCCTTTTACAACATTTAAAACCCAGTTATCAGAAGTTAAACTCATCCAATTCTCTTAGAATTTTATCACTTTCCCACCAATGAAATTGTCTGGTGTGTTTATGAATGTAAATTGTGTATTCAATTGCTGAACTGAAGTACTCACAGGCAAACTATTTTGCTTTGGCAATTTTATAGGAACTTCTTGTCCTGCTCTTGGAGCTTCTTTTTGAACTTTTTCTTTTTGTAAGTTGGTTTCCCTAAAAAATCTTTCTTGTTTGATGCTTTGTCAAAATGACGTTTTGGTACATGTACATATGGTTTCTTAAAAGTTTTCTTGTCATCATGTGATTTCTTTCCAATTTTAAAATTGGTTTTGCCCAGTTTCTTTCCTACTGTATATTCAGCATCCATTTCTTTGACTTTATCTTTGATGTCATTTCCAAAGAGAAAATCAGTTACTGGAACATCATCCTTGCACAAAGCTTTATATTTGGGTTGAATTTCAGCTTGTATCAAAGCTCTTCTTCTGAAAGTTATGTCTGCATAAGTGACTTGTGTCATCTGATATGCGTCTTTACAAAGTTGCGTTGCAGACTGTACTTCTTCTCTAGATAGTCCATCATTAGTTTGTGATTTAGACAGAAACAAGTCCATTAAGTAAAGCATAGGACACGCTGCTTTACCCAATAAGTTTTGAATTTTTTGAAGTTTAACGTCATTCATTCTGTTAGGTACTGACATCTGTGACCATATACCTGAAAAAGAAATGAATTCCTGTAATTTTTATAATAATACAATTTGATAAATTGTGCCTGCCGCAATCAACTAATTTATATTGGTTTGAATAAATTTTTAAAATACAATTTACGTGTATATATATATTTTTTCAAATAAACTGAATTTTAATTTTGTTTAAACATGTACATGTATCAATAGTATCATGTGTATAATTTCATATTTGCATTATACATACACTCACCCAAATTAATTTTTGGGACTGTCAAACTGTGTACATTTTCTGGCTTTGCATACTTTTTGGTTAGCTCATCAACTTTGTTTTGCTTGGCCTTCTTTCTCAAGCCATCATTGACAACAGATGCCAGTTCATCATTTATCTTCGGACCAGCTTTCTCTTCAGTTACCATGAAGCCTTTCATATCTTCAATAACAGACATAGTGTCATTCTTTGTATTAGAAGTATGAATACTTGGAGTGTGACTGTGAACTTCTGGTTGTTCTTGTTCGTCAAGTTCAATGTCTGAATTTGAGCTTTCTGACTCATCTTCACTCGATACATCAGAATAAGGGCTTGTTTCCCTTTGGTTCTGTTTGTGGTCTTGAGACTGAAACAGTTCTTCTAGTTCTTTTACGTAATTTTGTGCTAAAGACTCAGATTGTACTCGTGATCCCGGACCCTGTCCGTGACCACTTTCACATCTTTGTTTTTTTGGAACTTGACGGTCTTACATGTACGTCATCACCGGCAGTGACAGTACAGGTACGTTTGCCATGTGTCTTTTTCTGCACTGGTATGTCAGTTCTTTGGTTGTTCAACAAAGCTTGCGTAAGTAATTGTGTCTGTATCAGCAGTTGATACATATCAGGACATTGTTTGTCAACATCCGGTGTTTGGTTGATTGACACATGTGACAATGGAGCTCCGCCCCCTACGGACAAATTGTCTACATTTTCAAGTCTAGCTTCATAAATTATTTCATCATTGGAAGCTTTATCATTGTTGCAGTGTTGTTGATTTACTTCATAAAAATGAAGCAATCTACTGTCATTTGAAGAATGTCTTTCCATTTTGGAATGTTCTTCCTTTTCATCCGCCATGCCGGTTGGACATTTAGACAGTCACACTGTGGTCACAAGAACGACCTCGACCGCAGTCGTCAGTCTTAATAATGTTCAAGGACCTATAACAGCAAACGTTGCTGATCACTGTTCATCCATTGAACAAAATAATAAATCCAATTAAAGAAGAATAAAATCAAAACTTTCAATAATAAGTTTCTAAAATTTTCCACGTGTTAACCTCTTAAAATCTGCTAACGCAGTGACCTCTATCTGCGCATGCGCTTCTCATGGGAACTCTTGCATAATATTGATTTATAAAAATTTTGGGATTTTTGTTTATCTTCCAAATACATGTTAATTCGGTGAAATATTCTTGATGAATAATATTTAAAAATAATATTCCAATAAAATGCTCCGCTGGGGCGCAGCTTGATACGACCGCAGAGGTCGAACCCTGAACAGTTGGTGTAAGTATGGACACAACATTCAAGCTTGATACAGCACTGAATTTGGATTGTAATTAAATATTTGACACAGCATAGGTTTCTGACACAGAATGAATGTGGTCTAAGAACTTAAAAAATTTTAATTTACCTATTCAAAACATACCATTATTATTTGCTTTTATATATAAATCAGAAATAACCAATTTAAAATGGAAAATTTAAAAAAAAAAAAAAGGAAAAAAAAAATCCCCCCCAAATTTTTAGAGCCTCCTTATGATTCATCACCCCCAAACTCAATCCCAGCCTTCCCTTTGTGGTATGGTACCTTGCAGTACAATTTCAGAGAGGTCCATACACTTGAACACAAGTTATTGTCTGGAAACTAGAAAAATGCTTGTTTTTGGCCCCTTTTTGGCCCAAAATTCCTAAACGTTTAGGGCAAGTACCCCCAAACTCAAATTCAGCTTTCCCTTTGTGATATGGAACCTTGTAGAACAATTTCATAAAGATCCTTACACTTACACACAAGTTATTGTCCTGAAACTAGAAAAATGCTTGTTTTTTGACACCTTTTTGGCCCAAAATTCCTAAACATTTAGGGCAATTACCCCCAAACTCAAATCCAGCTTTCCCTTGGTGATATGGAATCTTGTAGTACAATTTCATAAAGATCCATACACTTACACACAAGTTATTGTCCTGAAACTAGAAAAATGCTTGTTTTTTTGCCCCTTTATGGCCCTTAATTCCTAAAATTTTGAGGCAATTACCCCCAAAATCAATCCTAGCCTTTCCTTTGTGGTATGGTACCTTGCAGTACAATTTCAGAGAGATCCATACACTTGAACACAAGTTATTGTCTAGAAACTAGAAAAATGCTTATTTTTTGCCCCCTTTTTTGCCCCTAATTCCTAAACGTTTTGGGCAATTACCCCCAAACTCAATTCCAGCTTTCCCTTTGTGATATGGAACCTTGTGGTACAATTTCATAAAGATCCATACACTTACACACAAGTTATTGTCATGAAACTAGAAAAATGCTTGTTTTTGCCCCTTTTTGGCCTCTAATTCCTAAAATTTGGAGACAATTACCCCCAAAATCAATCCCAGCATTCCCTTTGTGATATAAAACCTTGTGATACAATGTCGGAGAGATCCATACACTAACACACAAGTTATGTCTGGAAGTTACAAAAATGCTTATTTATGGCCCCTTTTTGGCCCCCAATTCCTTAACTGTTGGTACCATAACCCCCAAAATCAATCCCCACCTTCCGTTTGTAATATTGAACCTTATGGTAAAATTTCATAGAGATCCATTCACTTAAACTAAAGTTAGAGTGCGAAAACCAATGTGTCTTCGGACGACGACGCCGGACGACGACGACGACGACGACGCCAACGTCATACCAATATACGACCACAAAAATTTGTTTGCGGTCGTATAAAAATTAATATAAATGATTCAAAAGAAATTAATCTTTCAGTATTGTTTCCAAACAGAAATTACTTACATTTCTTTGTGGTATTGCTCTTCAATGGTCGAGCCGGTTTGAGTTGGTCAGAAATAGACAAGTGAAGATATTAAATTTTTGCCAGTCACATCATCTTTCCATCTGTTTTATTGGATATGTAAATTTTCTTAAATAACTATCTTGTCTTTTCATTTCTTATCTAGATTATTAGCATTTAAGAGAAAAAAAAATGAATCTTTGTGGAATATTAATTTGAATCAGGGAAAACAAAGATCATATACCCAAGACAAAAGTACAATGATCAATTGGCAAAGATTAAACTGTCAAAATCAGAAAATAAGGCAATTATAGAGTATTACAATTTTAAATGTTATGACAATGTTTTACCGTTGGAGATTTGAAAGACTGGTAACTAAAGTAAAAGAGAATGATGAGGGAAATTTCAGAGTTTATGTTTTTCTAGAGGCACTGTATGGTGTTAAGGAAAAACACATAAAGAATTGAAAATATGCCAAAGCGGCTTATTATTATTATAGACCGTAGCATTAAACAACCGAATAATGGTTTTGCAAACATTTTCCAGGATTCCATTGTACTTTTTCTCCATTTTGTAAAAATTGTAACATGATAGAATGTGCATATGGAAGGGAGTAGTTGTAAAACTCGTTTTATCAAAGGAGTTTTGCAGAAGAGGACAGGTTAATTTTTCGATTTACAATCAAAGTGAGATTGAAACTTTATTTTCTTATGGTGCACCAAGATCGCCTAAAAATATATTTTTAGAGCTCTTACGTCAAAATGTGAAAAAAAGGTCGTGCATTTACAGCCAAGGTTATATCTGAATTAATGCTAATGTGGCCAGAACTTGTCATTGTTTACGGGAAGTCAATACATCTCCAACCACAAATATTCATTCGAAATATTCATGACATGCTTACTGCATGGATGAGTTGAAATTAATAATGAGGTACAAGGAATTAACAATGTTCAATTGGAATCAAATTCGTCCATATACAAAAGAATTCTGCTCTACACAAAGGTATTGGACAATCACCAGGTACAAATGATAGAAAAATTAAAACTGTGAAATAGTCTGTGCCATAGCTCTGCACCAGTTGGAAACAAATAAATTTCAATACAATTTTCTATCAATATAAAAATAAGGAGATGTAGTACGATTGCCAATGAGACAACTTTCCAACAAGTTTACATATAAAAAAAGGTTTTTTCAATGAGTTTTAACATACATATTATACTTATGATTTTATTCCATGTAATTGACATTCAAACTTCAGTTCTTATTATTTTATTATGTACAAAATGTATTTTAACTTTGAATAAACTTCTTTTTTTTTTTACTCTCATTTTCATTTTAGGCATTAACATTAATGCCTGGGCATACTTTTCAGGATTTAAGTTTAAATCCTAGGATTTAAGAGTAATGCCTAACACTATTTAGGAAATAGACTTAATGCCTAGGCGTTAGCTTATTGCCTAGGATTTAAGCTTAATGCCTAATTTTACTTATTGCCGCTAACATATATATGAAAAGAGAATATAATTACGGAAAGAAAAGATAATTTGAGTTAAATGTTTATGTACCACATGAGAAGGGTAAAGTATTTTATGAAAAAGGAAGAGGTTAAAAATATCCTGTAAGATTTCAGTACATAATAAATTGTGCTATTAGATAAAATAATTAATTTTATTGTAAGTAAAAGGATTTTTGGCAGTAAATTTTTAGTTCTCTTGTTAATCTGATCATCACAGTGGGTAACCCCTTATCAATAACGTAATATGAAACTGGGAAATTTCCATAGCCACTGTCTAGGTATTATGCAATTCTTAATCAAATGCAGTCAAGGTCAATATGGTCATCTCATGATCATGGTATATATTAGTTGCAATTGGCTATTTATAATTAGAGTGACCAATCAGGAAACCGCGCATGATAGCATCATTGCATGTGAGGGAACGCTTGGTCATTTATGATTTCGTTTTGAAAGCTGCCAGACGCCATTTTGTGATTTCAAGAGACAAAGCCAATTCTGATATCTTAGATTTCTTGCTATTGCGCAATACTGTGCAATTGAAGATTTCAAAAATTTTGAAGAAAACAAATGAACCCCCCCCCCCCCCCCCAAAAAATAAAAAATTGGAGAAAAAAAATTCCCTCAACTTTTTGAACCCCTCCCCCCCTTTTGAGTAATCATCCCCAAACTCAATTCCAGCTTTCTCTTTATGGTATGGAACCTTGAAGTACAATTTTAGAGAGATCCATACACTTAAACACAAGTTATTGTTTGGAAACTAGAAAAATGCTTGTTTTTGGCCCCTTTTTTGCCCCTAATTCCTGAACGATTGGGGCAATTAACCCCAAACTCAATCCCAGCCTTCCCTTTGTGATATGAAACCTTGTGGTACAATTTCAGAGAGATCCATACACTTACACACAAATTATTGTCCGGAAACTACACAAATGCTTGTTTTGGCCCCTAATTCCTAAACTGTTGGTACCATAACCCCCAAAATCAATCCCCACCTTCCTTTTGTGGTATTGAACCTTCTGGTAAAAATTCATAGATATCCATTCGCTTAAACTAAAGTTATTG